TAGCAAATCTATCTGGCTTAAATGTATGAGATTCTCAGGCTCGTAAAATTTGCTTGTTAAACTACTTAACACCTCTGTATACCTTTTCAATCAGTGTTGAAGGTCTTCCGTTTGAATACTACCAAAGAGAATTACACTACAGGTGATACAGGTGGTTCACGAACGAGCTGACGTTTCGGCGGATTTCGCCTTCCTCAGAGCCCGGAAAGCTCAAGTTGACAGCAATCTATTCGGCCAAACACCTCCATAACCAAACTGAGAAAACGCTAAACCAAAATCTCGGTCACATTGAACATAGCTTCTTTGCACACTCACCGCTTTCTATGAGGCTTCCACTGAGTATGTCGCGTGGAGAACAATCGTGCAGAATTCACGTGGAAGTGTAATGTGCCTTCCCTTCAGAATAACAGACTTATATACTGCCCAATATCTGCTTGGTTATGGAGGAGTTTGGCGGGATAGAGTGCTGTCAACTTGACCTTGCCAGGCTCTGAGGAAGGCGAAATCCTCCGAAACGTCAGCTTGTTCGTGAGTAAAGAATAAAATAACACCTCGCGTTTGCTCAACAAAAATAGGGAGAATCACTTGATCAATGCCGAGGTTAAGAGAAAGTTGGTTGTGGGATTTATTACGAGACGTACCAGCACGATACTCCCGACTTGTAAAAGAGGCGCTGTCACTAAGACAAAAGACCGTCTTAGCTCGACAGCCAATACACTTTCGCCGCTGCGGTCTAAAACATCGTGTCGCCCCGAACTTCATCAAACGAAGACGACTAGACTACACGATGTATGCAGACTACCAGAGGGCAATCACTGAGTACTGGACATCGAATTGCGAATACTACACACCTGTCTGCGAAGCCGACAAAACCAGATGTTCGCTAAGTGGAAGAAGTGCGAGAAGAAAGAAAACTATTGTGCTCAGCATTTGGAGGACCGTCTCTGGACGAGAATAATGGGTGGGTCAGTGTTGATTTGCAACTCTATTAGGTCTAATGCTAAAGTAACTTTGCGGAGAAAATTCGAAGACCTTTTGAGTAAATCGCATAACACAGCTTCAATAGCGCACAGAAATATCGCTAACAAACATCAAACAGGTCACAGTAGGAGAAATAATGTGCAAGAAAATTCAAGGCTAACCATCTTAGGAGGCATGGCTAACCCTGACGGTGCGCACTCGTTATTAGAATTGGGACCGAGTTTCTCACCATCTGAGCTTATTTCTAAGATAAACTTGCGTAGAGTCGCATGTAAGTTACATGAACTTCAAGATAGGACTCCGCAAAAAAGTTAGAAATGAAACGCAAAATAGGTGCGAACAACACCAAGTGGAAGCCCTACCAATAGGACCATTTCTTTAGCCGCTTTTTAGACAACAAGAGCCCAGCAATGAAGTTGATGTTAAATTTCGCATGTTTACGAATGAAACTTTCAAAGTCCTTAATCAATATCGCGCTAAGAGATACTGCTCCAACCTCATTGAAGTGGACAAACGTTGTATGCGAGAGGTACGAGAGCTGATAAGATTGGAAAACATAAGACTATCCGTTAGTGATAAGGGTTGAGAGTTTGTCGTAATTCCCCACCGGTTAGATGTTGAGATAACGAAAAAGCATTTTAAAGATGCTTCACTTCGTCGCCCATCACATGAGGAGTTTAAGAGTAAATACCGAAAATTGAACCACGAATGAGTCAAACTGGCAAGGGCTGCTGGTTTAAAACCATCAGCTATCTCTCAACTAAAAGTTGACTTACCAACACGTCCCGTCTTGTACTTGCTTATAAAAACTCATAAGTTAGTATCCAGCGATGAACTTACGTCTACCGATCCATCATTGTTTAAGGTTACACCTATCATTAGCTGCGTAGACGAGCCAATGGATAGGTTAATATTGTTTTTAACCCTAATATTTAACCAAGTGTTGGAACACATTCCAGCCCATCTTACGAATACCCAGATGTTTCTGGATCGTCAACGTACTGCGCAGGCCAGCAGCGCGTACATGATGGAATCCTTCGCCATTATCGCCCTTTATACAAACGTGTCGAATGACTCCGCAATGCAAGCCATATTCGAACTCCTTACACAACACGAAGGAGAAATAAACGTGTATGGCTTCAGGATAGAGCACGTGATGGCACTCTTAAAAGAATGCTTGAACTGCTCAATCTTCAGATGGTCTGGAAAGTACTACGCTCAAATAAGAGGGTTGGCAATGGGACAACGACTGGCTCCAAGCCTTGCCATTGCATTTATGTCTAAAGTGGAAGCACCGGTGACTGATCTAGGGCCGCTACTCTACTGTAGGTATGTAGACGACGGCTTTGTCCTTTGCTCAACACAGGAGGAAATGGACAAATGCTTTGAGTTGTTAAACACACAGTCAGAGTACGTCAAGTTCACCCGAGAAAAACCGAAAGAAAAATGGCTTCCATTCCTGAACGTGCAAATTCACCTGTCGGAGAATGGCTACATTACAAAATGGTACCGAAAGCCAAGTAGTAAAAAAATTTTGGTTCATTACCTCTCCTCTCACCCCTCTCACACGAAAAGGGCGCTTATAAGAAACATGTTTCGAACAGCAACCAACGTGTGCATGGAAGAGAGCAGAGAGAGGAGTCCCGGAACTTGGCACGGCAAATAGCCATTTCTAATGGGTACGAAACTGCAGCTCGGGATAGGTGTAGGGGAAATCCTAGGCCCNGCAACCAACGTGTGTACGGGAAGAGAACAGAGAGAGGAGTCCCGAAACTTGGCACGGCAAATAGCCATTTCTAATGGGTACGAAACTGCAGCTCGGGATAGGTGTAGGGGAAATCCTAGGCCCCAAAACGACAACTCTAGCGATAAAGAGGTTCTGTTTATCCTATCCTTTATCTCAAATTGTGTAAGTGCAGCTATAAAACGTTGCTTAAGAAGGGCGGGCTTAGAGAATTCGGTGAGCATAGTTGAAATATCACCGAGTACCCCAAGGCACGAGCTAGTTCGTAACCGCCTATATGGCGGTCTATGTGCATCGCCAAACTACATAATTTGCACTAATGGCAGAGACGGTGATTGCATGAGCTCGGGCACAGTTTATCTGATCTCCTGTAAGGCGTACGAAGACGAATACATTGCAGAAACGGACGGACCCCTCTGTGTCTGCACAAAAGAACACCTAGTCGGCAAACATAAACCAAATACCCCACTAGGCACGCATAGGACCCAGAGACATAACGGGGAGGAGTTTGAAGTACGTGTCACGATCCTAGCACAGGAATCGAGAACACAAGCGCGCAAAACTCTCGAGGCGTTCTGGCTTAATTTCAGAAATCCGAAAATGAACCACAGGAAAGAGTGCCTCATTACCACGCGTGATATTGGGTAGTAAATAAGACTGTTATTCCGATGGGAGAGGCACATTACGCTTCTACGTGAATTCTGTGAAGTTCAACTTCACGCGACATACTTAGTGGAAGCCTCATAGAAAGCGGTGAGTGTGCAAAGTTGTGTTCAATGTGATTGAAATCTTGGTTTGGCGTTTTCTTTGTTTGGTTATGGAGGTGTTTGGCCGAATAGATTACTGTCAACTTGAGCTTTCCAATCTCCGAGGAAGGCGAAATCCGCCGAAACATCAGCTTGTTCGTGAATAAAGAATAATATAACACCTCGCGTTTGCTCAACAAGAATACGAAGAATTACCTAATCAGTGCCGAGTTTAATAGAAAGTCGGTCGTTGGGTCAGATATGCATTCAATCGGCTACAGCGATGCTTAATGAAATCGAATGCACGGCGCATCCCCCAAGGATTGATCAATGCCGAGAGCTCTATCCTTTATTTTTTCTATTTATCGTAGGATATCGTTAAAGCTGTTGGGTCTGGGATTATGTTAAATAGTGTCGAGACGGAAATAACGACAATGAAACGGGAAGTTCATCTACAGACCTTTGTATCCCCGAACGTCTTCGGAATATCCATTGTTTTCGTACCAAATCCGAAATGATACAGGAAATCATCGTCGACGTTCTCCATATTCTTGTTACGAATTCCAAAGGGCGGATAGGTGAGCATCTTCTTTCCTGGTTAAAAATGATTTATCACAGCATTTCAAATGGTTACTTCTTAAAGAACCTTAAAATTATTTCTTTGCGGACTTATCTCTTCGTAATAAAAAGCGACGACTTTTTACCACCGTGCTTTACCACGTCATAGTTGAAAAGCACGCCTTCATGAATAACAAAGACGCAAAAAAATTCTTAGGCCATACCAATCTTTAAGGTGTGTAAATAATATTGTAGAGTGAAATCTACAACACCTTTGAGAAAAAGAAAAGAAGGAAGGAAGAAGAGAGAAGAGAGAAGGAAGCAATGAAAGAAGGAGTGGAAAATAGGAGGAAAAGGAGGAAGCAGACATAGAAAGAAAAGAGAGAGGGAAAGAAGAAGAGGAAGTAGAAGAACATGGACGTGAAATGACCTTTCTTTTAAGGCACGTTATCAATGAATGCACTGTGTGACGATCTGGTTCTCGAACTGCAGTCATTCTTTGGCGACGTCAAATATTTCGGACACGATGATGCTTAACACTTCTCAATGAATTAGCCCTTACGGCAGGGACGGTGATTGCATGAGTTCAGGTACGATATACCTGATCTCTTCTAATAATTGCAGAGATGAATATATTGGCGAAACGGGCAGACCTTTGTGTATCCATATAAAAGAACACCTAGATGGCAAACGAAAACTAAGACGAAGCACCCCACTAGGCACGCATAGGATACAAAAGCATAGCGGAGACGATTTTGAAGTGAAAGTCAATATCCTTGCACAGGAGTCCAAAACACCAGCGCGAAAACTCCTAGAGGCTTTTTGGATCAATGCCAAAAACCCTACAATGAATAGCAGGGACGAATGCCCGGAGGTCATACGCGACCTGATCCCGTACGTTCGCATCGATTTTTGATGTGGGATGGTGCGGTCGTCAACCACATGCGACTATAATCAGCTGTTCTAAACTTCCTCATTGGAAGTCACAAAAAAAGCGGTGGGTTTTTCGAGAAGTTGTTGATCATGTAAGTACCAAAGAGTCTTTCGTCTTTGTGTAAGTGTCATTGAAGCGTTTGGCCTAGTAGATTGTATATCAGTATACCCTTCCAGGCTCTGAAGAAGGCGAAACCGCCAAGACGTCAGCTAGTGTTGTATTGTGTTGTGTTTTTCTATGGAAGTAAATGTATGCTGTTTAAAAACCTCGCGATTGCTGAACAAGAAAACGACACTTCTCAATAATTTCTTTACCTACAATCACGTAGTCAGTGGATATTCCCAGTTATGCCAACGCTGTAAATGTTAAGCTAAGCAGGGTCAAGTGATCAAAACCACAATCAAAGAGATCTTCAGTCGTTTTCCTTTATTCTGGCTAACATTTCCGATTCTTCAAATATGAAAACTCTATACGTTACATTTAAACAAACACTTTGTTCCAGATTTTCACATGATACTGTTTTTATTTCAGCGTGTACAGCTGCTGGAGATAAAATCGGGAAAAAAAAATTCGACCCTGCCTTTGACTTGTTCACAGAGGTATACGAATTCGACCCTGCCTTTGACTTGTTCACAGAGGTACATAAAAAAAGGCTTGCAATATGGAATTGAGAATCGATTAAACAGCGCAACATTTTGCATCTAAAAGTTCTATGAGGAAGATGACAGTCATTAGGACGAGTATGCTCAATGCGACTCTCTCTCTCAGCCACTATTAAGTCATTTTGGAAGAAATCTAGTCGTCAGGTGACAAGCTTCCCGACAGGAAACCATAGCGGCGGCAACATTCTGTGGTGACAACTTGGGAACGCAGCTTTGTGGGATCACTAAAGAAGAAAACTGGACTTGCTCATACAGAAAAATCCCTGCCAGATTAAAGCTGTGCGAAGACCAGTAGGAACTGTCTCGAAGAGAATTATAGAAGTATTAAACAAGTATTTAAATAAGGAGTTATACAAGTATTAAAGAAGTATTATAATAAGAATGTATTTACAGCATCCATCAGTTGAAGAGAGAAAGGAGAAAGAGAAGAGTAGAATTAATGGGAAAAACAGGCAGAGAGAGAGAGTGTGTTGGTGAGACAGAGGGAGCGAGAAGGAGACAGGAAGCGAAAGAGAGAAGCAGCGAGGCAGTGGTCAGCAACCGTTCATGTTTGATTTGCTTATTACCCAAGATGGTAAATCTGTACTTATCTTCAAAATGATATTGCAGCTACGTAAAGGTATGGGAAACCACAAAGTGGTTGCGACTGGAAATAGTTAGGAAGGACGATGGGCGCTGGAAAAGTCTTTGTTGGATTGGATTTGTCCCGAGAGGTCGTCTTTTTGTTGCTACAGTGTGTGGAATTTGATGGCCAAGGAATTAATACTACTCATTGAATGGTCACGATAAGGAAATGAATACAGGATTTATAGCGATGATATGTATTGACTTGAATGGATGTGATTGAAAATAGTTTAGGCTTCTAACCATAAGCAAACATATCCTAGCTTAGAGTGAAGCCTATTCTCTGGAATCGAAAACGTTTTTTTTATCCTGTTAAGATAATTTTTTAACTTTCTAACGGTCATAATCGTTTTTCCTTTGAGATGATAGGAATTTCAAGCCGCGAAACGGCAGCGTTGTATAAGCGTTATCGAAAAATCAGTAATGCCCTCGTGTGTTAAGGTTCAAAGGCTAACCAACATTTCAAAGGGTCAATTTCAAAGGCTGTTTATTCCTTGAAATGAATCCATATGTTCTATGCTGAGTGACATCTGATTCTATCCCGAAGGATGTATCTTTCAAGAAACTTTCAAATCACTTGTTTGCAAACTTTCATCCGAACGAAAGTGCAGGGATAAAGTACACATACGTACGCGAGCATGAAAAGTGTAACCAACATAATCCATACGCGGTTCATGGGAGCTTTAAGGTAGCATTAGGCTTGTGTTTTATCCCTATCCGCAGGAGTTTATGTACTTTTGCTCAGATTGGGTCCAGGCCACCCACATGAAGGATGCCAGTGATATTCGGCACTTCACTCTTTACCTTCCTGGTCCATCTCGCACAGGTGTATGACAAAAGACTAAACTTTCATCTAAAAAAAGCAGAACATACCACCTTCCATTATGAAACTGTTGTAAATGAACATGGTTTCCTCATGAGATTAAGATTAAGAGATAACGGAAAAGGCCATAGTCACAATCTTAACCATTTTATTTGCTGCTTACTCTTTTTAATGGCAGGGCATATTGCGAAATTTAATGTCAATGATGCTGAGATATTTGCAAAACTGCGGACCGCAGGTGTCTGCGGTGGTGAACGAACACGCTGTTGTCCTTTACGGGAGTAACGCGTTCACCACCACACCACGCGGATCCTTCGTTTCGCCTATCTCTTAGTTAGTTCTATCGATCTTTGCCATCAGCAATCACCCGCCAACGGGATTGATCTAGAGAGCCCAAATCGGCAATGAACCCAGTTAAACTGAGGCTTCAGTAGTAATCACAATCTCAACCGTTTTATTCGCTGCCTGCTCTTTATATAAATATATTTATATATTATATTATAAATATCTCAGCATCATTGAAGTTTCGCAATATGCCTTGCCATTAAAAAGAGTAGCCAGCAAATAAAACGGTTAAGATTGTGGTTACAACTAAAGCCTCAATTTAATTGGATTCATTGCCGATTTGGGCTTCCCAGTTCAATCCCGTTGACGGGTGATTGCTGATGGCGGAGATCGATAGAACTAACTAAGAGATAGGCGAAACGAAGAGTCCGCATGGTGTTGTGGTGAACGCGTTAAGCGACAATAGCGCGTTCGTTCCCACACCGTAGACGCCTGCGGTCCGAAGTTTTGCAAATATCTCAGCTTCATTGAAAGGCTACAGTGTTAATCGGTCTGAAAGCGATGGTGTGGCTCTGAATTCTCGATTTCGACTACGGAGGACACAGCTGCTGTGGAAGCTTCTGGTTCATGCGTCGAAGAACATTTCAGCACCACATGTTTGTGGCTTCCAATACTTACGATGAGAGAAGGAAATCGTTAAAGTTCCAGAGGTATCATAAAGCAAAAGAGGAAGGAAAACAAAGCCATTTATTCAACACTGTTTATTTGTACCAAAATATTTTCGCCATCACTTGATTGATAGATTGACACAATGGCGACCATCCGGCTTCACGCCCCACTAAATTAAATTTTTATTTAGATGACAAAAATCTTTAATTTTTAATAAATCGCATTTACAAATAAGTTCTAAGAATTATCATTCTTCCATCTAATGTTCAACATACCAGTGTTTCAACGCCCTTGTGAATGCCTTTAAGAAATTAGCCTTTGCAATTTTAGCAAAGATTGATGTGAAGATTCTATAGATTATAGATTTTTTACGAGAACTTTATTCTGTAAGAGTGCGTTGTTTCCTCTCCATGAAGTAATATTCATTATTTAATGCCGAGTTAAGGGACTTGGTGGCCTTGGCGCAAAAAAATGCAAAAAAAGTCGTTTATTTACTTGGGTAATTGGATGGCCCCTCCTCAATGGTTGTGAGAGCCCCAGTATAAACTCCATTTTTTCGGAGTTTTGCTAGTTTAGTCAATGTGGCTCCCTGGAGCCTGAGGTGAGTCTGGTCAAAGTCTGCTCCAGGTCGTCACCACCACAGACAGCTGCCGTCCTTGCGAATCAAAGGGATATTTGCCACCATGCGCCTGGTATGATACGAGGCCGGTGGTGGGTCCTGGTATTCGCTTACTCTAAGCTGGGCTTCCTGACGGAAACGCAGGATTCTTTCTCAGCTTGGGAAACCCTGCCTGGGGGATGACTCACTCCGCTGAAGATCGCAGTGCGATACTCAGGAACACCTTCCAGCCACAATGAGGCGATAAAACATTGGGAAGAAAAAGTTCCCAGGTCGAAGAAACCTAAGTTTAATCCTGGCAAAAAAAAGGACTTCTATCTTGTATCAAAAAATCTATAGATTCCTGTCGTTTTATTGCTACTAATAACTAATGAACTGAGATACATTCGTTCAAACTTGAAATCGGCCACTG